GAATGCCTCACAAAAGTTTGTGCACGACCCATTTCGAAGTATTTCCCCAAATGCTTGCTTTAGCATTTCATAGGTTTCCTTAGCCGTTTTGGCGAGTCTTTGGCAAAATTTGATGCACCCGCCATTCCGAAATCGCAGGAGGGTCGGTGTAATGCACTACCAAAACGCCCGTAACTAAGAAACAAATGCTAATTCGATGATGCCGGCTGGCACACTGATTCACTATGAATGTAGGCCGCACCCCCTAGCGGCAGAAGCTCGTACTACATCCGGTTCGCCCTCTATTGACACAGTCTGGAAACTTTCCGATCGCACCTCGTATATGTGCAGGGTGTGTACTGTGCCAATGCCAAGAGTGTGTGTGTTTTCTTAATTTGTGAATAGAATAGAATTTATTTACATTCCATAGGTCCTTCATAGTAAAAGCCAAGAGTACTCTTATAAGATCCAGAATGATATTAACACTTGTGGGAGAGGGGGCATGTCAGTATGGTGGTCAAAGGAGTATTGAAGCAAGTTTAAAATTGTCTTGATCTCATTTTGTCAAAAACTTTTAATCCATATCCCAGTGCCTATTTCATCAGAATCTGAATAGTTTCTGAGTTTGCATATAATGTGTATGGATAGGCACAACCTATCTAATATGCACTTAGCACATAAACAACCCGTTCATCAGCTCGCCCCCAGGCCCCAGCATCTCCTCCATCCTCTCTGTGGTGTGCTTGGGTAGACCAGTGCCTGGTGGTATGGCCACGTAAATCCCTGATGTTATACTCAACGGCAAGAGAGTTTGCCCAACGAGCAGGGGGCTGACCCAGCGAATGCTTCCTGTGTCGTGGGTACCAAGTCACAGTGGCGCTTCCGCTTTGCCACATGCCGTAACGGGTCCCTAACGCCTGACATCCGTCTGATGTCAGCAGAGTGAAGACCTATCTAATATGAGTACAAGAAAACTAGATCACATTTTTCTCTGGGATTTGTACATTGTAGAGTTCTTTAGTTAATACTCTGTGCAGAAGTATTTTTTCTGTGCCCATTGGTATTGATTTGTGTTTCAGGCAACCAGTTGCATACTGTACTCACAGGGCCAATAATAGCAGCCACAATGGCATTGCCACAGCATCTAGCATCTTCCTTGCTGCAGCAGCATGTGACAGCAGCTCTGCAGGGGCAGGCAGCATCAGGAGCATCTCAGATGCAACAGTTGGCTACAGTTGGAGCAGCTGTTGCTCAGAACTCAACCAGCAATGGAAGTGTGATGGCAGGACGTCAGGTTTTCCAGCAAACAACTGGAACCATCAGACAGTTAGATGGTGTCCATGACACCTCTGATGAGGATGAGGATGATGATGATGATGATGATGATGATATTGATGAAGATGATGAAAATGATGATAAAGATGATGATGAAAATGAAGAAGAGAATGATGGAGGTCCAGAGGAGGTATGTTATTTATCTCTCTTATCTTGTATATAAAATTTAAATTGTTTGTGTGCATGTATGTTCTGCTTAATAGCTCAAGAAGGGATCCACCAGTTTACCCTAAATTACCCCAAACTTCACATCCTAGTGCCTTGAAACCTGGAAAATATTTTAGAAGGTCAAAACTCCATTAAAGTTTTTTGGGTTAAAATCATGACAAGGATTGTTTCTGTAGCTCAGAAACTAAGTACAATAGAAGTGCCAAGACCAAAATTCTGTAATTTATGATTTCCTATCATCAGCAATACACCATGGAGGAAATTCAATTTTTGAGATAGGAGCAACACTGGTACCACTTAATAAATGATCCAGAAGATGATAGAAGTTCAAAAATATGCAACTTCTATGGCTGTAAGACAACAATATTGTGACCATAGTTTTAATTCCTATGGTGATATACAGTGAACCACTGTAATGTAAAAGTAAGTAAAGCTGTCCCACTATACGCCATGTAGGCGCTTGGGGGGAGTGGAGGTATAGCTCCTACTCATTCTTGACCTCGGCACTAGATGGGGGTGAGTGGTCAGCGTCACGCCCTGGCCGGCTTTACCCCCGGGAAAGGACCCTGGTACCCATTGGAGAGGAGGTGAACCACTGGAATGTGGTATGTGAAATTCGGTATAGAGATAGATTATAAATGTACCTAAAAGTTTTATATTTATACATTTTGCATTATATTAATATCAAACATGATAATGTGCAAACTTGAGATTAAATGTGGTAAATGTAATGTAGTCTGAATCTTTACTAGTGTAGAAAATACAGAGATTTGGATGACAAAAGTTTATTAAGTATTAACTTGTAGCTTTTGCCAGCCCCACCATATATATATTGAAGCATTTGAAAGAAAACAGGTGTCATAAGTTCTTCATATTTCCATTGATTTATCAGTGGGTCCTGCTCAGGTAAGACCATTACTTTCCTCAACTAATTTTGTATAATTCCTTTACCAAGGGATTTTGTAATATTATGAGATTTTGAGTATTTTTGTCATTCCTTGCATTATCCTAACATATTTTGGCCTCGTAAAATTCATCTTATAAATCACTTTTCAGGAGCCACTTAACTCAGAAGATGATGTCAGTGATGAAGATCCAACAGACTTATTTGACACAGATAATGTTGTGGTGTGTCAGTATGACAAGGTTAGCTTAAATTATGTTTGATTTCCATCACATATTGGATATAGGAGTTACTCTTATTCAGTATAAAGTTGAAATCATACTTAACAGTCTTCAATGAAACATGTTAATTAGGCCACTTTCTTTATTTTATGGTGTAATGTTTGTGTTTTTGTCTTGTCAGCAGTGAGTACCCTTGTAGATTTATCAGCAGATCTTTTTGGGTGCTGTTGACTATTAATAGTTCAATATTTCACATGTAAATGGTACAGAAATATCAAGCCATGCTGAGATGGAGAAATGTAAAGTGACTGCTAGAGTCTACGTCAAAGTAATGAGGCATTACTAGTAAGCAGTGATTCCAGTGTGGACAAAAATAAGTGTGGTAATTGTAATGTGTCAGTAGTTAGTAGTGACTATATTATTAATGAGAATATTTTAGTAAAAATATCTGTTTCTAAATCATGTGGTGAGCCTAGTGCAAAAATACCAGATATAATTTAATAATGATGACAATCTGGAGATCATATAAATACTGTAAATATAAATAGTACCAAGTGTTCATGGGCATTTCTCTATGCTAAAATCTTTAAATTATTCAGTTATGTGGATTAATTTAGGTTCTCTGTTTTATTTAAGTCAGTCTAAATGTGTAATTATCTTGGTTTATTCTATGGACAGTATTCAGAAAAAGTTGCCTGGAGCTACAGACAGGATGGGAAATTAATAGCTGGTCCTAACTGTGTTTAAATTCTACTCTTTGAATACAAGTGTGCATGTTGCTTCCCCACTTTTCTCCCCAGCCAAGTTTTCAGTCTGATAATTTCTGAACTACTTGGTCAGTGCTAACTAAATCTGAGCATACATATTGTTATATTATCTAGCAAGTTTGTACCAAAAAGTACTGCTGCTTCGTAATCAGACGAGTACAGAAATTCTACCAAAATGTAAACGCACGAGTAGCATTTTCTCACCTACCCCTGTTTAAAGAGTAATATTCCATACACAGATGAGGGAGGCTGTTGGAAAGTACATACAAATTTCCTAATTTTAAGTATGTTGACATGTAATTTTAATAATGTTCTTGGTTGCAGATCACACGGAGTAGAAACAAATGGAAGTTTTATCTCAAAGATGGGATTATGAACCTGAGTGGCAAAGATTATGTGTTTCAGAAGGCTAATGGTGATGCAGAATGGTGAGAATTTGTACAAGGAAGGAAATGTTTTGTCGAATATTATCAAGTTAAGGTCAGTCACTTACTGTTACCAATTGACAGATTATCAGCACTTGGGGAGAAGATAGAGCACATAGGGAGAACTAAACACTTGTGCAACTGTGTGAATGTGGTTATATTTTGTGTTAATGAGTATCTGGATGACAGACTGCATAATCTTCTGGGATGTTATGTTATATTTGTATTTCAAGTCCGTGATATAAGAAGTAAGACAATTCAGAGGAAAATTATATTTGTAGATATTCCAGTACTTTCAAGTTGGTAATAAGTTTTCTGCAGTCATTGCAACTCTTATTAAGTCACCCATTTCAACAAATAAAATACAATTGTTCCAAATGCTTTTGATGTAAATTCACTGCTACAAAAAAAATCAGACTGTGCCACAATTTTTACCCTTTGATCTCCTGAAATGAAGTGATTTACATTAATAGGCTGTGTTACTATGTTTTCTCTAGCTTCTGTATTGTGAATTGTTAAAATCCTGAATAAGTCTAGTTGAAAGCTAAGCATCTCATGTGAAGCACAACCAAATAACTGAATTAAGCTCACATCACCAGCATAGAAATGTTCCTTTGCAACATTAAAAATCTTATTATATGTTATATATTCATTGGATATACTGATGTTCATGAAGGTTCATTGCAGAAGCGTCCGTATGCAAACAATGTTTTTCTTTTCCAAAAATGTTGTAAGAGAGGCCATGATTTATATGTTATAAATGAACTTTAGTAGTTGAATGGGTTTATTTTGTACTTCTGTTGCTAGCTTTTTTGTTTTGTTTATGAAATGGGATGTAATCATGGGATGGATGTTTATAGTAAAATTTATTTCCAAAATATATAACAACTTATTTCAATGGCAGAAGAAGTAAGTAGAACTGAGACTGAATTTTTACTGATAGTGAACATCTGGGTTAAATATTTATAAGTGCGTGGTGCTTTATTAAACATGTAAGAAGAGATTTGTAAAAGCAAGAAACTGAATACATATAGATGAAACATATGTAATCATAAAGTCAAAACTTATAAACTGGGTACCACAAATAAAAGTTACAACAAAAGTTTATCGTATTTACTAACATAATTTCCCCACTTTATTTTACGGTTGTCATATGTTAAAAGCAAGGTGGGGGCAGTTATGTAGTTTTCCCTGTTTAATATGGATGTGATCATGTAAAAATTAATTCAGTACCTCTGACTATATAGCATTGAATGAGGATGACAGTGTAAAATGAATGAAATGGAAAGGATGCAGAAGTGGCTGTGGCCTAATTTAAGGTACTATTACATTTGTCTGGAGGGACTGAGGAAAGCTTCGGTTAGGATAGCTGGTCTAGTGATATGGAATGAAAGTGCTTCAGAAATGATTACAGGAATGAAAAACAGCAGTCACTGATAATGGAACAGCTTATTAATTTTACTCTTTAAAAACTGATATGTGATCAGGAGTGGGAAGTTTGTAAAGGAAAAACTTTGTTTTAAAAATATGCACTTTTTCATTCTTTTTATTTAACAATTACAGCTGAATATTTCAAAACTCCTATCTTGTTCCCAAGGTGCTAAGTTCCCTTGCTTTCCTTTCATATTTTATTTTTTGCTCTGGGTGGCTGTATAGCATGCATGTGGAAGATAAAAACTGCATACAAAATGTTAGTTGGAAGACAAATGGAATAGATTACCTTTGAACATATAGATGGAAAAAAAATATTAAAATGGACCAAATAAGGTTGTATGGACTGGATTCAGTCTTATGAAAATTGTAATGAACCTTCAGATTCCATAATAATGGGGATTTATTGACAATCTGAACAATTTTCAGCTTTGCAACGAAGTCTCTGCTTCATAGAATTACAGTTTTTAAAAACTATAATTTTCATTTAGGTAAGAATTAGATAATTTGGGATGTTATTCATTTTGTTATTATTAGATAATTCCCAAACAAAAGAAGCATTAAACAGGAAAATGTTCTATCACCCACACTGTTCAATAAGTTAATGAATGAGAAGAGAAAACTAACCAGACATGAGAGTGCAATGCCAGAAATTGTGATATACATAAATGTTAAAGTTACTTGGAAACAGCATGACAACACTGCTGCTGAGGTAAACAGATCAGAAAAGCTGATCAGATAATTGTCAGAAGTACCAGACAGGTGAGTAGCTACATACTAACAACCTGGGTTTGATTCCCACCTGGGACAGGGTTAATTCTCTAAATTGCTTCTGCACAACCAGAATGGTTCTGAGGGTCAGTGCATCCAAACAGCTAATCATGGTCATTGCTTGAATCTGAATGCTATATCCAGTGCTGAATTCCCATATGTCCATTTCAAGTTAGAATTAAGTAAGTTCAACACATCTGTCAGACATTCAAATTTCCCTGAAATATCTACACAAGATTTTTTAAGCTTTTCATGTTTCTGCCTAGCCACTCCTGGCTTCCTTAAGTCTGTGTTGCCACCATTCCCTAAACTTTAGGACCTATTTAGTTTCTTTCCATGTATTCCTACTTGCCAAGAGGATTTACAATAGTGATCCCTAAGCTCTTTGGTTTATTCCCAGGCACACCTACCTCCCTATAAACCCTAAATTCAGGATTTCAAAAGCTTTGTGTGTTTATCAGTCACTTTCATTTTCCTGAAATTTAATGAACAGAATTCCTTAAGCCTTCTGGTTGTTTCGTAGGTACTGCTTTCTTGGCGTAAGAATTGCTTACGTTTCACAGATTACTTCCCAGGCAGATTCTCCCTGGCGTGCTTTATTCTATCTCACACTATCTGGTACTACACAGTACCGCTGTGTCAGATTGGTCATGGCTACTTAAGTTTTGCTGCTACGCAACCTCAGCCAGTTCCGTTTTCAAATGTACTTCTAGATTTGCAGGTAGAATTAAATTTGGTTAACTCTGCTAGTAATGCCCCACTTGTAATGAATAGCTTTGCGAACATAATGCTTCGACAATTCGTTCAAAGAAATTTTCTTTCATGGATTCTTAATTAGCTAGTGTTTATGCGCAGCGTCGATTTACTGGTCACAATCGAGTAACTTCAAACATTTGCCGCCATTTTAATTACAAAATGCATACATAATGTTGGTATTAATCTATTAGTGATTGTACCCTTAAATAATGCCAACATACTTGTACCAATCCTCGGCATCATGCGCATAGACAACCACGTTTCCAACGAATAACATTGAGATGTTGATGAGGTAGGTCTTCTGTGGTCAGTTGAGTGTATCCAACAAAACAACAATAAACATTTAACAGGAATGGAAACAAAAGGAATCGTTTGAAGAGTTTTTGTGTATAATTTGTACGGTAGTGAACTAGAGCAGATCATTTTTAATTTGGTTTGTAAAAAGACATACATCATATGATAATGTACACGGTTCGGGTATAATGTATTGCTGAATGTAATATGTTTAAGAATTTTCGTAATGAGTAAGTTCAGTCCAATTGACACTCATTACTTAATGTTTTTGTCACACCAGTGTCTTCCTAAAATACAATTTTTTGCTCAGAAACGCAGGTATTTTCTCGTACGTGTCAGGCGGAATAAACAGTATAATGTAAGTGGATTAGGAATTGTAATTATAATCTTGGCTGGAAGGTATTAAGTGATATCTATTGTAAATACATTTTGGGCTTCTGTAATGGTGGTCTGGATTGTGACACCATGTGGATTGTGTGGTGGATACCAACGTTCAAAGGAACGTACTGCCTCAACTTTCGGCTGCCTTGAAGATGTAGGCATATGGTTCTCAGAAGTGTTGGTACCGACCTACAAGAGCACTTAGTGTCTTTATCCAGAAGACAACCATGGACATCTTCAACACCCTGAGTACCTCAAAAACAATTTTAAGTACCAGCCACACCTCAAATTCCATTTATATAATTAACTGTGTCTCACATTTTCCCCTCTGTGATTTTAGATTCATTCATTCTTGTCACCTGTTGCCTTGGACATCATACAATAAGTCATTCATCACTGCCTGTATTATTCATTTTGTATTATGCTTATAGTTGGCTTAGCGTAACCTAGACATTTTCTAGATCTGATAGCAATATTCACATGTGGAAAGAGTTAAAAGAGTTATATGCCAGACTACACAGCGCAACAACCCAGAAGACAGAAATCTTCAAGATGTGTTATATTTCATACCAAGTATATCATTATTTTAAAGACACTATCAGTTTTTTTTATAGTTTAGATGCGTCATGTTTGTGTTTAAAATTCAAATATATATTTATTATTCAAGTCTATACACAAACTTTTAAATTGTTGATGTTAAAATTTAAAATTAATATTAATATTCTGCGCCATTCATCGTTA